TGTTAGTACAAGGTCCAGAATACTGTTACCTCGAGTGGGCTCTACCACATGTTGTATGAGAAAGGAGTCCTGCACCAGGTCTAGAAATTTATCTCCTTCTGCTTGTGATGTCATATTTGTGCGATGAGGACCTCTACGTCAACTACCTACGGCAATTCCTGGCCGCAAGATCGGTCTTTATCAGCGAGACCAGCCAATGGATCACGGACAAGCACCTAAGAGATGCCCTTATCAACGTACAGGAAGAAAATCAGAAAACGGCGGTATTTTCTGGTGCATTCCTTGGGCGTGTCGAAGGCAAGCATCCAACCATGAAGCTAACCTTCACCACAATAACCGGCACTACCCAGGCCATTGTACAAGGAGTCAACTGCTTTGGCATCAAGATCCCACCCTACTAAGTGAAGAAGAAACGTATCTACAAGATTCAACAGTACTTCAAGTGTTACGAGTTCTCCCACCCCACCAACATCCTCTCCTGACGTGCAGCATTTCCGCCAAGGACCATCACCACTCAATCTGCAAGTCAGAAACACGATGCTGCCTGTTCTTCGAAGGCGGTCACTCCGCGATTTCCCACCGCTGTCCCCGCAGACAAGAAATCATCAAGAAGCAAGTTACATCCAAGAAAGGTAACCCTCCACCTCCGCCGCCGTCGCATCCAGCAACAGCTCAAGCACCTCAGCGCCCACCAACCAACCAGAAGTTTTCCCAGTCCTACCAAAATGACTCCACCCACCAGGCAATCCGGCCTCCAGTTTGGGGAACCAAGGACCAGTCAGCATCCTAACATCCCCTCTCATCACCTGAGGGCATTATTCCTAGTCTCATTCGCTTAGCAGAGACTCGCCGGACCAGATAATCAACGGTTTGTCACGGAATTCAACACAATGAACCTGTTCAATGGGGTTTACCCCATCATTGACCCTAAAGGCCTGTAGCCAGCTGTGTGTCAGAGCCTTCATGTGATCAGTTGACCCGATCTCCCGTGTATCAACCTGTTGAGCGAAAGAGTTCCAGATGTGAATCTCTCTCTCTCTCTCTCTCTCTCTCTCTCTCTCTCTCTCTCTCTCTCTCTCTCTCTCTCTCTCTCTCTCTCTCTCTCTCTCTCTCTCTCTCTCTCTCTCTCTCTCTCTCTCTCTCTCTCTCTCTCTCTCTCTCTCTCTCTCTCTCTCTCTCTCTCTCTCTCTCTCTCTCTCTCTCTCTCTCTCTCTCTCTCTCTCTCTCTCTCTCTCTCTCTCTCTCTCTCTCTCTCTCTCTCTCTCTCTCTCTCTCTCTCTCTCTCTCTCTCTCTCTCTCTCTCTCTCTCTCTCTCTCTCTCTCTCTCTCTCTCTCTCTTCTCTCTCTCTCTTTGCCTGTCTTTTTTTTAACTAGGGTTGATAAGGGCTATCAAATGGCATTCCTAGTGAAAATGCTAGTAAGAGCTGTTATGCTATTTCTGCTCATCTGAAGTCTGTCCCTAGAAACTCAATTATTTCATGAGAATATACTTTGAAACTGTTACATAAGGAACTATCATATAAGGAACCATTTGAAACTGCAAGCAAGTGCTGTAATCCTTACTCAGTTAAGTTGAAACCTACTTCTAGAGGCCCATTTATTTCATGAGCCTGTTATATGCATCAGTAGGAATAGCCTTTATTCATTAACAACATTATGCAATAATCATACAAGGAACAGAATTAGCCAGTAGCCAGCTGTGTGCCAGAGACGTCATGTGATCACTTGACCTGAAATCCTGTGTATCAACCTGTTGCGCGAACAAGTTCCAGATGCAAGTCACCCTAGGAGTGAATGATCTCTGATGGAGTGATGTTCTTGAGAATGATAGTCCACGGAGTAGTGCTAAGTGCAGAACTTTGAGGATGTTGGCCTTGTACATACCAGTAAGAGCGCCAACGTCATGACGGTGTTGCAGGCTCTGATGTTCAGAACGTTCCCACAAGACTTGGTCAAGGCTGTAGGTAAGCCTTCTTACTCGTCTCTCCACTTTGACCAACAGTCTGACGTAAGATGGGGGGGCAGGCGATCCAGGAAAGGGATGCATACTCTACATGAGAGGGAACTTGTGCTTCATATAAGGTTTTGCAGCTTTTGCTGTAGAGAAGGTGTGAGATGCACTGTAGGGCTGTAAGTTTCCTGGCTGCCTGTTGAATTAGGTTAAGTACGTAGCTTGAAGCGAGTAATCCTTATACTCACTCCATTATCTCATTATCTTAATTGCGTAGCTAATTAGCACTAACTACACAAGCTATAATCCTATCCCTAATTACAGGTAACAGTTCTCACAGCTTCCTATCCTAGTAGAGAAAGGTAAGGGGTAGTCACCAAATATAAGGAAGCGATATGAGAACAGACAAAAGTACAATTTCCAGTCAAGAACGTAGCACTCGGTGTAGGCAGTTCTAATCGTCTCCAAGACGCTACAGCTTCGACACAGAACAGACAGCAGACTAGGACCGCATCGAGCTACAACGCTCTCCCACAGAGAGCTCCGCGACTCCGGCCACACTCAGCTCTCTGCTCTGCTCCAAGCTCCGTCTCAATGTCTACCACACTGCTGCATCCAGGACTACTAAATAAATATGAAACTCACTAAACACTGTGTATCTAATCTACCCAACAACGTAACATAATCGTACGTTACAGGCTCTTCATTATCATTGAAGAGTAGAACTTCATTCCCAAGATCAATTTCATCTGTGAACTTTAGGGTTTTGCCACCCATTTGCAAGCCAGTCCGATTTGCCATGTGCAGTCTAGTTAGCATCTCTTGGGTCTTTTCAGCCGCAAATATGACCTGCCATCTCCCACACCAGGAAGAAATCGCTGAAAGTTGGTGATTGATGATTCTTGCAATAGTTGGTATTTCTTCCTTTCTGTATGTGAAGGTTAAACTGCAGTCATCATCATAGGCTTGAGCTTCAGGAATGAGATGATCGATGAAATATAGATTCCACAGCAGAGGATCAAGCACACTATCCTGTGGAACGCTGGCACCAATTGAATGGCTTTCCATTCAACTTTCAATTTTGCTCCATTGAGGACTACCCTTAGAGTCCGTTCTTGAGGGTAGACTTTTATTAATGCTAAGATGGAGCCTGAGATGCCAAGTGCTTGAAGCTTCACTACTAATCCGAAGTGTCATACCCGATCAAAAGCTCCTGCTATATCTAGAGCAACAACACAGCTGGTCTTGGACTCATAAAGTGACTATTGCCACTTAGTGGAGAGATTTTGCAAGAGATCAGCAGCAGATCGGTCTTTTCTAAAACCATACTGTCGATCACATTTTAGCCATTAATGAGCAAAAAAATTATATCATGTGCTGAGCAATTAATGATTCTAGGATTCTACTAGTAATGAAGAGTAAAGACACTGGTCTGTAGTTACCAACCACTGGGTGGCTCTTCTTTTGGTGTACTGGAACAACGTCTGTCTTCTTCCATAAGAAGGGCCACATTCCTTGAACTAGGCAGAGTTGGAAGAGGCACGTGAGAGGTGGAGCCAACAACTCAGCGCAGCTGCGTAAGGTCAGTCTTAGACTGACCTTATCTGGCTCCACAGCTTTGCTTGTTTCAAGCGTTTTAAGGAGATGGAGAACTTCAGCCTGCTTTATAACCACTTCATTCATCCTAGATACAGTGCATGGGGCAAGATGTGGAGGCTGACGTTCAGGATCAGGGACCTGCATCTTGGCAGCAAAGTGGTTTGCCAGTAGCTCAGCGTTCTCCTGATTGCGGGTTGCAACAGTTCAATCCTCTCGGTTTAGAGGCGAGATTGTGACCTCAGATAAGTATTCCTGTCGATCATTCACCAGGGACCATCAGACCAAGGATTCAACCCTTCCAGATGGAAGTTTTCTTCGAGTTTCGGATGCCTTTTTGGATATAGCTCACTTTTGAACTTATATGATTATTCGACAAGATTGTCTATGAATGTTTCTGTTATGAACCGAGGGAAGCCGTTTAAATCTCATCCAGACCTTGTTTTTTGGCTTCAGCTGCCATCCTGCAGCGATATCCAAACTAAGGCTGATCAGTGCGCTTGCATGGTCACATACTGCCAGTGAGGGATATGTCTATCTGTCTCTGTCTGTCTGTCTGTCTGTCTGTCTGTCTGTCTGTCTGTCTGTCTGTCTGTCTGTCTGTCTGTCTGTCTGTCTGTCTGTCTGTCTGTCTGTCTGTCTGTCTGTCTGTCTGTCTGTCTGTCTGTCAGTGTCTGTCTGACTGTCTGACTGTCTGTCTGTCTGTCTGTCTGTCTGTCTGTCTGTCTGTCTGTCTGTCTGTCTGTCTGTCTGTCTGTCTGTCTGTCTGTCTGTCTGTCTGTCTCTCTCTCTCTCTCTCTCTCTCTCTCTCTCTCTCTCTCTCTCTCTCTCTCTCTCTCTCTCTCTCTCTCTCTCTCTCTCTCTCTCTCTCTCTCTCTCTCTCTCTCTCTCTCTCTCTCTCTCTCTCTCTCTTATAATTATACTAAAAATGCAGGCACTGGGGTCAGCTCCGACTGGCCTATGACAACCACCTGCCACGAATGTGTCATTCAGAATAGTTGAGTGAAACCATCCCCAAACGTCTGGTTTTGAAAAGACGGAAACAAACAGACATTCTCTTTTATTCATTTAGATTTACTATCTAAATTGCTTACTTACTAACCAGGAAGTGTACTCTAGGCTATAATTAGTTATAATATTTTCACAACCTGGTTATTTTATAAATAGCTATAATGTTATTGACATTTATCTGAATTTATCTGAGGGCACTAACACATGTGGCAACGACCAGGACAGGAAGCCGGCGGCTTGTCGAAGGTCCCCCATTTGCCTTGATCTTTTCCAGGTGTGCTTTAAAATTTAACAGAGTTTTACGACTTCTGCGGGTAGCCATTTATCTCCCCTTTGAAATTGTATTAACGTATTCTATGTATAGGTAAGTAAGATGGGTGTGCGCAACATTACAATAGAAAAGCTTGGCCTTGCACTGTGACAGAAAACGTGAGAGTGAGAGAGTGGCGTCACCTGCAGCTGGGCGCTGGTTTAGTTGCAGGCTGTGCTCCGGGGGTAGAGGACTGAGCACCTTCCTTCAGAAGAACTCTTGCTGACAGTAACTTGATCTCCTCCTGTAGAACACGTCTCTTCAGTTAACAGGCGGGACCAAAGAGTCGAAGCTCAACTAGGTGAGTTTTTCGCCGGACTGATACAGTAGGCGCTACTCTCTTAAACAATATTAAAGTAAGCAACAGGAAATTAATTTTTTTACCACGAGAGATGTACCTCTCTTGCATGGAGGGTTTCCCAAGGTTCAATTACTCACTTTCCCCATGCTGTTACCCAACAACAGTTGCCTAACTGCCGGCAACCTATTTAATACTAGGTGAGCAGAATTATTATATTATATTTATATTATTATATTATATTTATATTATTATATTATATTTATGTTATTATATTATCAATGTAGTATTTTCATACAAATCAAGAGGTAAACAATTCGGCGAATGATCTCAGTTATCTCAGTAACTGATAAACATCTGAACACTTACTATTATGTCATTTCATATGATAAAATAAAATAATTTTTTCCTGGAAATTTCAGTCATCTAACGGCAGTACTAAATACGATTTCATTTTACTCAAATGAAGGTTGAAATAATGAGATCGTCAAGCCGCATTAACTCATACCAGGAGGCGATTAGCAATTTGTTGAAATTAGTAAATTTCGATGAGCAAACCGAGTCGATAGGTACATACATAGGATGATTTGAGCGCACTGCTATCGATTCAGTGGAAAAAATCAGACTGGGTATAGAGTTCAGCAAAGTTTCTCAAGGGAAAGGCTCTTGATATTTACCACTGTTTAGAGGATCAACAACATGATAACTACGAAATCATAAATACAGCACAACTGCATTGTTTCAATATCATGGCAGATAGTGTGCTTGAAAGTTTCAGAAACGCAAAACTGAGAAGTGGAGCGACTTATGCTCCATTTCTCTAAAAGTTAGAGTCGAATTTGAGCACATATTGCGTGCTAGAGGAAGAACAGGGAGACAAGAGTGGAATAGAGAGGAGAGAATGGAGGTTTGGGAGGTGGGGTGAGGTACACCCAAGTGGGGGCTCGATGATGATAGCTGGATGAGTGGGCTTGATCTCAATTGCCTCGGCTATATCTAATCTTATATTATTGTTGTTGTGCTTGTCATTTGTTTCGGTGTTATTCGTGCATAGTTAGACGCCTTGAAAGAGATGTTGGGGGCTTGGCTACATGTCAAGATCTTTGGGACTGACAGTCTCCAAATGAGTACATAAAGGCATAGACGACATTAGTCTCTTTTAAGGCGTTTTTATTGGCATTGAGAGTTTATCGATCTTAAGTAAGTTTGCGGTCTTCTTGCTCCTGTAGTAACTTGTGGGCCGCATCTTCTGGTTACTGTCGCTAAGGGTCACGTTTATGCCAGTTATGTCTTTCAGTATTCTTTTATTCATTTTCTAGCATAAGATAGGCATTTGGTCCCGCGGTATATGAAACAAATATTTCAGGGGTGTCCAAAATTCCGACACCAATTACTACTAACAATAATGTAAATCAATCAATCCTGTCATGTAAATTTGACAGTCAATCAAGTAAAGAAATTTGGGTTTCGTAACGTCTCTGAAAAAATGTTACCTCATACCTTGCTACCTGATTTTGATTTATCCATAAAACTCATATAAAATCATTCTTAAACCACCAGTCTTGGAACCATAATAGATAAAAAAGTACTCTCCAAGATTTGGTGTAATTAAATCACCAATAAAAACAAGGTCTCCTTCCCATTGTCAATAAAGACAGAACCGTTTCCTGGGATGCGTCCCCTGGAGCAGGGGAGGGGACGCCATTAAATGACAACAACAGATCATGCTCGCTCGCACAAGCACCACGAAAACTTCCCGCGAATATCAGTGTCGGAGGACGCCAGAATCTCCTATCATCAACTTGACTTTGGTAGTCTTAAGGGAAGTGTTCTGTACCCAAGTGAACTGTTATATCTTATCATTTGTGGCCATTAATGTAGATTAGGGCTGACCGGTTATCGGCTTGGCAAGCCACCCGGAACGGTTAAGCCTAAATTAATTAGACTAGATGTAATATCTTACTTCTGATATAACCATCATATATTGGTTACAGTTTATTACGTTGACTATTTGTCAGTTGAAATTGAAAGGGAAGGAGTCAATAGAAGCATATTATCAGGTTGCAACCCAGGCACGCTACGACGCCGTTACAGAATGATCCACTAGGAGACTCAGCTTACACAATGTGGACGAGCCTATTGCTTATTAACCAGGCTAGACTCTACATGACAGCTAAGCTGGAATATTTATATTACTAACCCAGTTTGGCATAGTTGACTAGCCATTAGTAGCAAATTTCTACCAATCGATAAATTTAGATTTGGTAGACTATATAATTAAACACCTCGAAATTTGTGCAGGAAAGCGACTTGTGGGGTAGTAGGGTTACTTGGGTAGGGAGTAGGGGTAATTTGAATCATACGAGTCCGCTAGCTAAGCCCCGTATCATAAGGTAGTCCGCTATGGGATAAGAATCATAAATTAATATAGAAATAAATTATTAATAAATGAATCATAGTAATTAAAATTAATAATCCCACGAGTCCGTTTTCCCCACAAGGGGTTCCACTATGGTCCAAAATGTTGGGAATCAGTGACTAGATAGATCATGAATTTACATAAACTCGTGTGTGCGAACTTATGTGATTTATCAATAGATTTTTCTTAATCTCAGCTCATTCAATTTAGTTGTTAATGTTTTCATTCTCCAATTTGGCTTAAAGAAGATTAAGTAAATTATATAGTATTACACACAGATATTCTATGTTAAGGACTCAAAAGAACCTCAGATCACTGTGTTGTAGGTATGAGAGGCAATTGTCTACCGGCCCAGTGCTCTAACTTCCCGTCAGTTAGTCAGGGATGAAGCTCCTAGTGCGTATCAACACCACTCCACTCATCCCATATAGCGCCACGATTTCCGTAAACATTATGATTTTTCCAGGCAGAGTACAACTTTCCAAGCATAGTATAAGTTTCCAGTCTAATGCATAACAAGCAGACTGAATATTGGAATATGAACCTGCCGCATCATTGTAAATCTACTGTTGACCAAACCACACACTAGAAAGTGAAGCGACGACGACGACGTTTCGGTCCATACTGGACCATTCTCAAGTCGAGTGTGATGATGTTGTTGTTGTTTTAGATTCAGCTACTCAGAACAAAAGTTCCAAGTAGCACGGGCTATGGTGAGCCCGTAGTGGACTTACCTGGCACAGGAGCGGGGCTGTGAGTGTGATGAGGAAAGATTGATTGATAAAGATTAAGCCACTCGGCACGGGCATTAATAGCCCGTAATGATGAGGGAAGATTGATTGACTGATAAAGATTAAGCCACGCAAAAGGTGGCAGGGGCATGAATAGCCCATAAGTGGTGGCCCTTTTGAGCCATTACCAGTATCAAGAGCTGATACTGGAGATCTGTGGAGGTGCGACTGCATCCTGCGTGACGGGAGATGTCTCCTGTGGATGAGGGAAGGAAGCGAAGGCAATAAATAGGCAAGAGAGAGGTGAGGAGAAGGAAGTCTTAGAGGAAGTAAAAGCAAGGCAAAAGGTACGAAACCCTAAGGTGTAATGAAGGTGATAGTAATAGGAATAAGAAAGGAATCGTAAGAGAAAACAAGGGAAAGAGAGAAAGATAAATGAAAGAGGTAAGCTTATGTTAGGACACGTTTGCTAGAATATTTAGAACATTTGAGTACATACTGTGAAAGGGAAAAGTCAACAGCAACAAAGCCAGGACTCAAGTTCATGTTGGATACGTGGTGTATCAGAGTCGATTTAACAAGACAGCGTCTGTGTTGAGAAGAGGCAGGAAAGAATATTTTGGAGGAAGACCAATGAATAGAATGATTAGAATCCCTAACATGACAGAAGAGAGCATTGTTTGTGTCTGCAGACTTAACACTTCTTTTGTGTTCTTTAAGTCTGTCATTAAGTGTACGGCCAGTTTCGCCAAAGTATTGGAGAGGAGAAGACAAGCAGGAAATAGAGTAGACACCAACAGAATTAGAAGCAGGAAGAGCAGTGTGAACTAGATTGCTATGAAGTGTGTTAGTTTGTCGAAAGGCGAGCTTTATGTCAAGAGGACGAAAGGTATTAGTAAAAGTTTTGAGTTCAGATATGAAGGATAGGCAGAGCACAGTGCTACTAGCGTTGGAAGCAGGTTTGGGATGTAAGGAATTTCGTTTAGCTTGAGAATAGGCACAGTTGATAAAATGCAAGGGGTAACCGAGGCGAGAGAATGATTTGTAGATAAAGGCAATTTCAGAATCAACAAACTGAGGGTCGCTGATGCGTAGAGCGCGGAGGAAGAGGGAGACGAGGACACTTTTCTTAACAGAAGGAGGATGGTAGGAAAAGTGAATGTACATGCCACTAGGCATGGGTTTGCGGTAGACACAGGAAGAGAACCTGGACACAGAGCTGTGAACCTGAACGTAAAGAAAAGGAAGGAGGGAATTATATTCCCATTCAACTTTGAAATGGATGGAAGGAGCCAGATTGTTAAGAGAGGAGATGAAAGGCTGGAAAAGACTAAGGTCATGGGCCATAAAGCAAAAATATCATAACATAGCAAAGCCAGAGAGAGAGAGGGACGAGTATCAATAGAAGGAAGAAGAAGAATAGGTTCAGTATTCCATGTAGAAATTGGTAAGAACAGGGAGAGAGAAGGGAACCCATAGCAACACCGAAAGTTTGAGTGTAATATTTACCATTGAAAGAGAAAGAGTTAGAGTCAACAAAGAGTCTAATGAATTCGAGGAAAACGTCAGTGGGAAGCAGGAGAGGAAGAAGGCCCTCAGTCGCTTTCTGTTTAAGGAAAGAGAGAACGTCATCGAGGGGAAGATTAGTGAACAGAAAGTCGACATCAAGACTAAGCATCTTACAAGAGGACTGCAGGAACAGTCTGTCTATGAAGTCCCGAGAGTAACGAAGGTGGGCAGGGGAAAAAGTTCCAAGGTAAGGCGTCAGGGTTTTAGCGAGCCAGGAGGGAAAAGGATAGCCGACGGAACCCCGTGAAGAAATGATAGGACGAAGAGGAACACCAGGTTTATGAGTCTTAGGAAAACCATAGAAATAAGGAAGAGAAGGGCAGATGACACGGAAACGTTTAATAAGATCAAAGTCAGGAGGACAAAGACTAGAGAGCTGTCTTAGTTTGCGGTTAAAGGAAGTTTTAAGGCGATACAAAGGGTTAGAAGTCAGAAGGGCATATGTGCGGGAGTCAGAGAGTAAGACATCTGCTTTCTGGAGGTAGTCCTCACGGTCAAGGACAACCACCGAATTCCCTTTGTCGGAAGGAGGGATAAGAATAAAGTTGTTAGATTTCAGGGAGGCAAGGGCAAGCTGGAAGCGACGAGGAAGGTGGTGATTTTTAGAAAAGAAGTTGTTAAAAACGGGGATAAGGGCCCGTCTAAAGGCAGACAGGTCCGAAAAAGTACTAGAGTTAGATTTGACAAACTTGTCAAAGGAACTAATGAAGTCAATGCGACAGTGCGGGCCAGGGGAAGTAGCAGTTTTAGTGTAAAGATTGTAACCTAGTATAACCTAGTGTATAGATTGTAAATACAATACAACAATACAATACAATTTTATTTAGGTAAGGTACATACATACAATAAATATTTACAAGGATTGTTTAACTTATAGGTATAGCTAGTACATACAATGCCTAAAGCCACTATTACGCAAAGCGTTTCGGGCATTACGTTACGTTAAATCTGAACGTTAAGAAAAGATTCAGATTTAAAAAAGGTTCAAATTGTGAATAGATTGTAAATCTATACACTAGCCATTTGCTAAGACATTTATGGCCCTGGATATAGATGTGGCAATTATGTCTTTTATTATCCACAGCTGTGATGACGTCAGCGTTGCGAGCCACTGGCCGGTGCGGAGCGTCAACAGTCATGGCTTCTTGCACAAGGTTGGTTCTTCATGCAGTTGTTTGTGTGAGTGTTGTGTGTTTGTGTCCTCGACTTGCTGGGGGAGGTGTCCTCGACTTGCTGGGGGAGGTGTCCTCGACTTGCTGGGGGAGGTGTCCTCGACTTGCAGGGAGAGGTGTCCTCGACTTCCAGGGAGAAGTGTCCTCGACTTGCTGGGGGAGGTGTCCTCGACTTGCTGGGGGAGGTGTCCTCGACTTGCAGGGGGAGGTGTCCTCGACTTGCTGGGGGAGGTGTCCTCGACTTGCAGGGGGAGGTGTCCTCGACATCCAGGGAGAAGTGTCCTCGACTTGCTGGGGGAGGTGTCCTCGACTTGCTGGGGGAGGTGTCCTCGACTTGCTGGGGGAGGTGTCCTCGACTTGCTGGGGGAGGTGTCCTCGACTTGCACGGAGAGGTGTCCTCGACTTGCTGGGGGAGGTGTTCTCGACTTGCTGGGGGAGTTGTCCTCGACTTGCTGGGGGAGGTGTCCTCGACTTGCTGGGGAGGTGTCCTCGACTTGCTGGGGGAGTTGTCCTCGACTTGCTGGGGGAGGTGTCCTCGACTTGCTGGGGGAGGTGTCCTCGACTTGCTGGGGGAGGTGTCCTCGACTTGCTGGGGGAGGTGTCCTCGACTTGCAGGGAGAGGTGTCCTCGACTTGCTGGGGGAGGTGTCCTCGACTTGCTGGGGGAGGTGTCCTCGACTTGCAGGGGGAGGTGTCCTCGACTTGCAGGGAGAGGTGTCCTCGACTTGCTGGGGGAGGTGTCCTCGTCTTGCTGGGGGAGGTGTCCTCGACTTGCTGGGGGAGGTGTCCTCGACTTCCAGGGAGAAGTGTCCTCGATTTGGAGGTGTCCTGAAGGAACTGAACCTTACGACACTAGAGAAAAGAAGGGAGAGAGGAGATATGATAGGGACATATAAAATACTCAGGGGAATTGACAAAGTGGAAATAGATGAAATGTTCACACGTAATAATAACAGAACGAGGGAACATGGGTGGAAACTGGAAACTCAGATGAGTCACAGAGATGTTAGGAAGTTTTCTTTTAGCGTGAGAGTAATGGAAAAATGGAATGCAATTGGGGAACAGGTTGTGGAAGCAAATACTATTCATACTTTTAAAACTAGGTATGATAGGGAAATGGGACAGGAGTCATTGCTGTAAACAACCGATAGCTGGAAAGGCGGGATCCAAGAGTCAATGCTCGATCCTGCAAGCACAAATAGGTGAGTACAAATAGGTGAGCACACACACACACACACAAACACACACACACACACACACACACACACACACACACACACACACACACACACACACACACACACACACACACACACACACACACACACACACACACACACACACACACACACACACACACACACACACACACACACACACACACACGCACACACACATGCACACACACGCACACAAGTGGAGTCTTGGCGTGAAGTCACCAGTGGAGTCCCACAGGGCTCTGTACTCGGTCCTATCTTGTTTCTGATATATGTAAATGATCTCCCAGAGGGTATCGATTCATTTCTCTCAATGTTTGCGGACGATGCTAAAATTATGAGAAGGATTAAAACAGAAGAGGACTGTTTGAGGCTTCAAGAAGACCTAGACAAGCTGAAGGAATGATCGAACAAATGGTTGTTAGAGTTTAACCCAACCAAATGTAATGTAATGAAGATAGGTGTAGGGAGCAGGAGGCCAGATACAAGGTATCATCTGGGAGAGGAAATTCTTCAGGAGTCAGAGAAGGAAAAAGACTTGGGGGTTGATATCACGCCAGACCTGTCTCCTGCAGCACATATCAAGCGGATAACATCTGCGGCATATGCCAGGCTGGCCAACATACGAACGGCATTCAGAAACGTGTGTAAAGAATCATTCAGAACTTTGTATACCAATATGTCAGGCCAATCCTGGAGTATGCAGCCCCAGCATGGAGTCCATATCTAGTCAAGGATAAGACTAAACTGGAAAAGGTTCAAAGGTTTGCCACCAGACTAGTACCCGAGCTGAGAGGTATGAGCTACGAGGAGAGACTACGGGAATTAAACCTCACTTCGCTGGAAGACAGAAGAGTTAGGGGGGACATGATCACCGCATTCAAGATTCTGAAGGGGATTGATAGGGTAGATAAAGACAGTCTATTTAACACAAGGGGAACACGCACAAGGGGACACAGGTGGAAACTGAGTGCCCAAATGAGCCACAGAGGTATTAGAAAGAACTTTTTTAGTGTCAGAGTGGTTGACAAATGGAATGCATTAGGAAGTGATGTGGTGGAGGCTGACTCCATACACAGTTTCAAGTGTAGATATGACAGAGCCCGATAGGCTCAGGAATCTGTACACCTGTTGATTGACGGTTGAGAGGCGGGACCAAAGAGCCAGAGCTCAACCCCCGCAAACACAACTAGGTGAGTACAACTAGGTGAGTACACACACACACACAGAAAAGAGAGGCAGAAAGAAATTTTGAAAAAGGGATCGCAGACAAATGCAAAACAGAACCAGGTCTGTTCTATAAATTCATAAACAACAAATTCCAGGTAAAGGATAATATTCAGAGGTTGAAAATGGGAAATAGATTCACGGAAAATTAAAAGGAAATGTGTGAAACATTAAACGAAAAGTTCCAAAGTGTGTTTGTACAAAATGAAATCTTCAGGGAACCAGATACAATAAGAATTCCAGAGAACAACATAGAGCACATAGAGGTGTCTAGAGACGAAGTGGAAAAAATGCTCAAGGAGCTAAATAAGAACAAAGCAGTTGGTCCAGATGGAGTTTCACCATGGGTTCTGAGAGAATGTGCACCTGAGCTCAGCATTCCTCTTCAACTGATTTTTCAGGCATCCCTGTTTACAGGAGTTGTAGCTGATGTGTGGAAAAAGGCTAACATAGTTCCAATCTACAAAAGTGGAAGCAGGGAAGACCCCCTTAATTATAGACCGGAATCATTGACAAGTGTAATAGTCAAAATATTGGAAAGAATAATTAAAACTAAATGGGTAGAACACCTGGAGAGAAATGATATAATATCAGACAGACAGTATGGTTTTCGATCTGGAAGATCCTGTGTATCGAATTTAATCAGTTTCTATGATCGAGCAACAGAGATATTACAGGAAAGGGTTGACTGCATCTATCTGGACCTAAAAAAGGCTTTCGACAGAGTTCCACATAAGAGGTTGTTCTGGAAACTGGAAAATATTGGAGGAGTGACAGGTAAGCTTCTAACATGGATGAAAAATTTTCTGACTGATAGAAAAATGAGGGCTGTGAACAGAGGCAATGTAAAGGACTGGAGAAATGTCACAAGTGGAGTACCACAGGGTTCAGTTCTTGCACCAGTGATGTTTATTGTCTACATAAATGATCTACCAGTTGGTATACAGAATTATATGAACATGTTTGCTGATGATGCTAAGATAATAGGAAGGATAAGAAACTTAGATGATTGTCATGCCCTTCAAGAAGACCTGGACAAAATAAGTACATGGAGCGCCACTTGGCAAATGGAATTTAATGTTAATAAATGCCATGTTATGGAATGTGGAATAGGAGAACATAGACCCCACACAACCTATATATTATGTGAGAAATCTTTAAAGAATTCTGATAAAGAAAGAGATCTAGGGGTGGTTCTAGATAGAAAACTATCACCTGAGGACCACATAAAGAATATTGTGCGAGGAGCCTATGCCACGCTTTCTAACTTCAGAATTGCTTTTAAATACATGGATGGCGATATACTAAAAAAAAAAAAAAACTTTTGTTAGGCCAAAGCTAGAATATGCAGCAGTTGTGTGGTGCCCATATCATAAGAAGCACATCAACAAACTGGAAAAGGTGCAAAGACATGCTACTAAGTGGCTCCCAGAACTGAAGGGCAAGAGCTACGAGGAGAGGTTAGAGGCATTAAATATGCCAAAACTAGAAGACAGAAGAAAAAGAGGTGATATGATCACTACATACAAAATAGTAACAGGAATTGATAAAATCGATAGGGAAGATTTCTTGAGACCTGAAACGTTAAGAACAAAAGGTCATAGATATAAACTAGCTAAACACAGATGCCGAAGAAATATAAGAAAATTCACTTTTGCAAACAGAGTGGTAGACGGTTGGAACAAGTTAGGGGAGAAGGTGGTGGAGGCCAAGACCGTCAGTAGTTTCAAAGCGTTATATGACAAAGAGTGCTGGGAAGACGGGACACCACGAGCGTAGCTCTCATCCTGTAACTACACTTAGGTAATTACACATACACACACACACACACACACACACACACACACACACACACACACACACACACACACACACACACACACACACACACACACACACACACAAAATTGGGTCAGCCTTGATCGTGAGCAGACGTGTAGGGTCAGCGGTCCGCGTTAACCGAGGGAACAATAGGGTTCAAGGGAGCGGGTGTACTGTGCAGTGAGAATCGGGACAGTGTAAATTGAACAGTGGCATTGTAATGCAACACATTGATGTCTCGTGGTGAATTATCTTAGTGAATTTAGAGAAGATAGCTAGTGAAGATCGACTTCTTGAGGAAGCATCAGTCGCATCAGCCGGGACCCACGTGGAGACCTGAAGACCTCACAGGATTACCGACGTCACGCCGTGTATTCACCTAGAGTGCTTGTGGGGGGCTGGCTGGTAAGTGTCTCTCATAAGTCTCCAACAGTGTACAAGGTTTATATAATATCATATCATAGACACTATTGCATTCCATTCAATAATACAATCGTAATAATCCAATCGTGGTAGACAGGTAACAGGGACAGCAACTGTGAGCTCACTGGGAACCCAGATAAGCCGCTAATCCTCCCCCACCCGCCGTAATCTGAAGACTACACCTCACCCATCTCTTAACCCCCCATCTCACTCTCCCAACAAACCCCCCCCCCCCCACCACCACTCCCACTCCCAGAACACCCCCCCCCCCCACCACCACACCCACTCACACTAG